GAGCATGTCATGGAATTTAAACTTCATGTCCCATACACATTTTTCTTCAACCATTCATTAACATGACAAAATTCTGGATTTTAGGTTGCAATTCTCAACTAAAAGATTTTTTTTTTTATGCTACACAGAATATATGTGGCAGTGCCATAAATCTTGTCACAACTGGGGGACTATTCCTGGCATAAATTATGCAGCTGCTTAGTTTGCTTGTAAACATCCTATAATATGACAGAAAGCCACTTACAGGAAAGACTCAGCCAGTCCAAAGTGGTTACTGCCAATAGTGGGAAACTCTATTTTAAGGAGAAAACTGCTCTAAAATTCAAAGTTTTCTGTTTAAGTCTAAGGATAATGTAAAGGTAAAATATAAGATGTGTAGACCTATGGAAGCACAGATTATGGCTTGTAGGTCCTTAAATATTATCAGTGAGCCCCAATTATATTATTAACTTTGAAACCTAAAATAATAAGTGAGCATTTTTGTCTTTTTATATTTTTCTATGGAATGAGTTCATAACAAAGTCAACTGGTACAATCTCTCACACACATTCAATTAGTTAAGCATATGTAACACAGAAGACTGCATTAAATGCTCAGTAAGAGATAATCAAATTGACTCCTGTTCCTTCAATGTCAGGTTTTTCTTATTTGCTCTTAGTATCAGTGCCGTGACTCTGTATTTGGTGTCCTGAAAAGAAGCTTCTTTCAAGACCCCTAACCATTACATTAAGCAGATACATAAAATTTATAACCATTTATTAATACAATCCGAATAGTTTCTGTGACTCCAAACTCATGAGCCTCAGACAATATTTTAATCATGAATTGAATTGCCATATACATTTCTTTTTATAAAGAAAGCCTTTCTCCTCATAAATGTGTATAATGTTGTAGAAAATTAATTCACAAGCTAACATTCTGAAGTTTGAGTTATATTGAATAGGTTGGGGTTTGGAGAATTCGGAGAATTTTGGGTCAGAGATTTCGCTCAGTGGCCTAAGTGCCTGCCTGGCAAATGGAAGGTCGTGAGTTCGATACTCAGTACCAAAAAAAAAAAAAAAAAAAAAAAAAAAAAGCAATTTTCAGAATTTCATATCTTCTTAGTCATGAAGAAACATGTATATTCTTATTCTTAATGTATATTCTAGTGAAGAAGTACTTCCAGCTATCTCATTAAGACAGTCTAAAAAGTTGTTCATTCTTTTAATTCTCAAAGACTGTTTCCATACTCATAGTTTTCCAGGACACTGTTACCATCCAAAATTCTATTAAATATCATGAATTTCACAAACATTTGCCATATAATTTCATAGTCATAGTGGTTTAATCTAATTAGAACTTTTATAGGCCTGACTTGGCTGATGGGGCAAATAAAGGAATGTCATGTTTTACAAGGAGGTTTTGTTTTCTCTTAAATAAATCTACCTACACAAAGAGAGAATATTTCCTTTCTACTTTAATATCATACCCACTGAGGAATATCTTCTTATTAGATCAAATATAAAACAGTTCATGAAAATGCAAGAGTATGCATGAGTCAGTGAATGAGAGATATAGGAAATGCCAACATTTAAATGTGGTGTGTTAACAGAAAAACAATTTCAAAATTGGGCCTTAGAGGTCATGTGGAGAATGCATGAAAGTTGGCTTAAAAACAGAGAATGGCATGGTTTAAAAAACAAAAATTAATTCAAACTGGTCATTAGGTCTCAAAATTTTGGGTCCTAAAACTGAGCATATCCTAATACATTAAGCTATAGAATGCTACCTTCTTTGGTAAAGGCTTAATGGACCAAGGCATAGAAACCATAACTTCTTTTCTAAGGCACTTAGGCAACATCAAATCTTTAGCCACATAAGATTTTGCTAAAAACTAAAGTGAAATATCAAGGAAAAAGATAAAAAAAAAAAAGCCCAGAAAAATAGAACAGAGACTAATTGGCATGAAAGTTGCATTCAAACATTCTAACATATGGTGCAGGTTAAGGAAACAAGAGAAGAAGACAGATCAATAATTAAAACAGAAAATGGAAGTATTTATCTCAAATTAGTGTATTGTAAAGTATCAAGAATTTGTTTCTTTCTTGATAAGTCTTATCTAACAATTATGAAGTAATGAAACCCTACCTAAACACACTGTTCTTAATAGATCATCTGAAACATTTAACTAAAGAGTGGCAGAAAAAGAGAGAGATCATTTATTGGAGACCTTTGTGAATCAATCATGGTTTGTATTCAAAGTAGGATGAGAGTATTAAAGAAGTAAGACCATTATGACCCCAAAATTGATTACAAACTCAAAACCAAAGAAATACTATTAATAAATTGAACTGCTCATGCACACACAACTCCCCCTACAAGAATTTTAATACATTTTTTAGCTTAATTTGGACATCACACTCATTTTACTTCAAAAATTAACAGAGAAAACTCACTGAATTAACATAAAAGGAGGAAATCATAATTTGTATAACAATAATTTTATTTATAATCTTAATCTAGATTTATAAGAAAAATGCTTGACAAAATTCAGTGTTAATAATTTGCTAAATTAGAAGCAGAAAATAATTTCTTTAGTTTGTCTTAAAAACTATAATAAATATCAATCCTACTTATAAAATATTAGTCAGTTTTCCCAGACACAAGCAAAAAGAAATTTCCTAGAGATCTGTTGATTTATTTGTGTGAGAAAAATAGAAAGTTTAGAAAGAAGCATACTTTCATTATAATTCACAAATAATATGTGTGAACTACAGTCAGCACAAAGTAATCTAAAGATGTCATGAGAACCAGGAAATTAACTCTTCAGTGTAAATATGTATATTTCTATCCTAAAACAGCAACAGTAAATACAAGCTAAATTTTAAAGCATAAAATTATAGAAGTATAAAAATACAGAGCGGGGCTGGGGATTTAGCTCAGCGGCATAAGCGCCTGCCTTGCAAGCAGGCAGTCGTAAATTCGATCCCTGGTACCAATAAAAATGAAAAAGACCAAAAAAAAAAAAAAAAAAAAAAAAAAAAAAAAAAAAAAGAAAACCAGAGCAATAAACTAATGAAAGATTTGCAAGATTTGTACACCTAAAATTTCAAAGATAGTTGAGAGAAATTTATGATCATCCAATTCGATGAAGAGACATACCATATGAATGAGAGTACTTATTTTAATATGATTATTTATCCCAAATTTCCTAATAAATTGAACTTAAACTTTTGCAGAAATTGAACACTCTATCTAAATTTTAATGTAGAAATACAAATACCAAAAATGATCACAACAATTTGAAGTAGAATAATCTCTGAAATTGCTGGACACTGCCCTACAATAAAGCTTCACATAAAATCATAGTAATTAAATACAGTATTGAATTTAGACAAGGCTAGAAAATCATTGTCCCATAGAAGTAAAGAGACAGACCCCTAATGGCTCTAGATGGATGTATCACATTGCATGTCAAAGGTGACCATAACGTGCAGGGATGCTACTTTAACCAGTAAATGACTCTAAGTGAACCCTATCAGAAGTCTGTCTTGATAAGCTATAAAAATCAAAAATTCTACACAGTTTCTATATCCAAATGGAAAAAGTGAGGCCAGCTGACTTTCAAAAATTTCACAAAACAGTATCATTGACTATATCAGCAAATGTGGAAGTTACATATGTATTCACATCAGCTTAAAACAGTTATCTTTAGTGCCTCTGCTGTGACAATGCAACCGCTCACAGTGAACATTTTTTTACCTACACAAGTAGCATGATATATTTTTCGGCCAGTAGAGGATGCTGTAGGAAAACATGCAGGATAGGCCTATAAGTACTTGTTTGAATTTTCTTCTTTTTGTCATGCAAATGGCAGAAGTAAGTGCGGGAGACATTTAATGGCATTCACCCCATTGAATTTCAGCAATATCCCTAGCTAGATTTTCACTGAGTCTTGGGGTTATTTCACCATTAATCTTCCCAACCAGAACCTGTCTGTAACGTCAAGTTGTGTGTTCAGTTTGTTAGTCTAAACCATGATTTCCAGCATATCTGTACTTTAAAAAGAAAAAAAAAAAAATGTCAATTTTTTTCAGTCCCAACTATTTACTTGCTGGCTAACTTTAGCACAACCATACTGCGGAGGAAAACTTCTTGTTTCCTGGCTCTGAAAGGGGATTTTAGTTGCCAGCATTGGCCCACGTATTCCATAGAGGGCTGTTTGTTTTCTGTCCAAACCACAGAATGCACTTCTTGGGCATCCAGTGGGCTGAAATGACATATCCGCCAGGGAAGTCACAACTTTTGACTTGGGGAGAACCTCCCTTGTCCCAAATTTACCTCTTTCTTTGAATATTTTCCCCAAACTACAGTGTGCATACAATATTATCTTTATCCTTTCTTAAAGTTAATTCCCTGACAAAATTAATAAAGATTTATGCAGGTATGAAAAAACTGAAATTACAGCATGAATTTTGTCTTATAGGTGGAAGTTGAATAACATGGTAGGCAAACATTACTTGAAAAAAAACTCTCAAAATATAAAAAAAGAACTAGATTTACTTTTAAATTTGAAATCATTATAAGCATCAAATATATCACTAGAAGAGTACACAGAGAATAAAATATCAAAAAACATGAAATTAAAAATATTTTCTTCAAAGCAAGAGTATTGTTTCCACTGGCCATCCTTATATGCTGGTTTGATCATCTGAGTTCAGAAACTAAAATTTTCAGACCAGTTTTCTGCATCGGCCTGAAAGCATAAGGCTCCTGTGATCTTTTAAACCTTTGTCATTGGTTGGATGTTGGTTTTGGTAAAGACACATTTCTCAAACTGAATCAAGCTTGAAGGCATTGGTAGTTCAGTGCTGTCTCCTGGAAGAAGCACTACCAGCTGCTGAGACTTTAATTCCTATGAGGCAGAATCTGGGCAGTCCATTCCAAGACTCATCACAGTCCATGACAGAGTACTTTCTGTTTCAGGAAAATTTTCAGTGATAAAACTAAACAGAGTCTCTTTAACACCTCTTCCCTAATCTGAACGTGTGTAGAATTCCCAGACGGATCTGCTTAGTCCTGACACTATAGACGACAGGGTTAAGCACTGGAGGAAGCAGCAGGTAGATGTCAGCCATGAGGACATGGACTATGGGAGGCAGATGTTTCCCAAAGCGATGGACCATTGACACCCCAATAACTGGGACAAAAAAGATGAGCACCACACAGAGATGGGATACACATGTGTTGAGTGCTTTGAGCTGCTCTTCATGAGAGGCAATACGAAGCACAGCATTCAGAATCAGAGCGTAGGAAAGAAGTATGAAGACTGAATCCACACCCAGAGTGACAATAACTACACACAGTCCATAAATGCTGTTCACCTTGGCATTTGAGCAGGATAATTTCAGGACATCTTGGTGCAAGCAGAAAGCATGGGAGAGGACATTGGCATGGCAGTAGTGATAGCGTCTCAGGAGCAAGGGTGTGGGTAGGACAACTGCCATGCTTCGCAGCAAGCAGGCCAAACCAATTTTCCCAATTGCACTGTTGGTGAGGATGGTAGAATAGTGCAACGGGCGGCAGATTGCAACAAAACGGTCAAAGGCCATCGCTAGTAGCACCGAGGACTCCAGAAATGTGAATGTGTGGATGAAGAAGAGCTGAGCATAGCAAGCACTTGCCTGGATTTCCCGAACATCGAACCACAGCACAGCAAGCATTGTGGGAATTGTGGACATGGACATGCTCAGGTCAGTAACTGCCAAGATGGAAAGGAAGGAATACATGGGCTGATGGAGTGAAGAGTCTAGCCAAATGACAGAGAAGATGGTAATATTGCCAGTAAGTGCTACCAAATACGCCAGACAGAGTGGGAGGGAGAGCCAGAAATGGGCATACTCCAGCCCAGGGAAACCCTTTAGGAAAAATATGGGCTCCGTGGTATCACTGTTATTCCAGAACACCATGGTGACCGTTGGGTTATCTGGAAAATGATGAAAGATGTTCTTCACTATTTTTCTTATCCTTCAAAGTTATCGCCTGTGAGTACAAGCAAGATGTATTTACAGCCAGTTCAAATTACATATTTTCCCCAACTTCACACGAGAAAGGAGGAAAAATATAATGAATCTTATGTAAGAAATATTTCCCAAATTAAAATGAGCCAAATACTGGAACAGAAGTGTGTGCCATGTGAACAGTTAAGATTGCAACAAAGGATCCGAGTTTGCATTGAGAACACTGAAAAAAAGTAAGCAATTTGTCAGTATACAATAAACATTACTAACTATATTCTATATGTTGCATATTAGAATTTGACCATTTATCATACCTACTCCAAATTTGTACTCTGCCCAATTTCTACTATTACTTCCCACTATCTACTGTGGCAAACATTTTTCTAGGTAAACTTTTCCTTTTTACCTTCTCATTGCTTCAACTGTGATATTTCCCATTTCCTCAGTGTCTTTCTTATTGCTGTTTCACTGGTTTTTAATTATTTTGTGGAGCCTTGAAAATGAGTCATTGTGGTTCTTGATTAATTTTCATGCAGTTTAAATACACTGAGGTTGAAAGAACATAACAGGGAGGGGCCGAGAACAATGAGCACTGCTTTAAATAGTAAAGTCTCCAGGCGCAGACTCGCCTATTCCAATTAAATAAGGAAAACTAGTAAGGTTAAAATGATTTGCTTACAGCCTATTCATCATCTTTGCTATATTCCAGAGAAACTATCTTTCATTGACAGCCTTGTTCTAAATTTTCTAAAACATATTGGAGCAAGATACTATGCCATACTTGTCAAATTTTTCACAAAAGTTGATACCTTTTTTCCCCTTGCACAAAATGTACATTGTCCCTCAAATAAGTTTACTATTTGTAACTGTATATCAACACAAAATATGCTGAAATCTACCTAATATTTTTTATTTAAATGAAAACCTACCTCAAGTATATGCAGAACGAATGTGCACTGTGATCACTTATGATGAAGTTAAATAACACATTTTCCAGAAATCTCACAGTTCCATTTTGTCTTTTTCTCAGTTAAATCAGTTGCACTACAGTCATATTGCTTTCCTATAATATTTATACCTTACCCTCTTTCTATCTCTGTCTCTCTCTCTCTCTCTCTCTCTCTCTCTCTCTTTCTCTCTCTTTATGTCCTTTTAGTTATGACTGTCTTTGCTTTATTCATCATTTGAGAAGAATCAACTGATTGCAGATGCTCTAATTTTCATGCTCTGGGGACCACTGGTCTTGAAAATCCATGACTTATGAATAGTGAGGTTTAAATGCTTCCACTATTTCTACAAAGAGTGCTAATTCCTCTGGGATAGAACATTAGAGATTGGAATCAAACTCTGGTGACTCTCCAGAGATAAAGCAACTCTCAACATCCTTTAATCTTAGTTCTAGCAAAAGCATATGGTCAGCAACCCAGGAAATAATAGAAGTTCATCCTTAGCCCATCTATGCTTCTCAGTCCTTTCAAATGTAACAGTTTTCTTTTCTGAAATGAGCATAAAAGAGTAATGTCTTTAATATCAAAAAATCCTAAAGATAGACTTAATTAGAGGCATGCTAGAATCATGGTAATGAATCAAAACGATGGAAGTTTCCATTATGAGACGATTACCATTTCTTACTAAAGAGAATTATTAGTCATGTTTCTGAAAATCATTTTAAAGAAAAAAAGATTCAATAATTTGTACTAAACATGCCTGCCACAGAGCTTCCTGTGGAGTGCTACATACCAATGCATTGTTTTTCTTGATTTCTTAGCTCTCCTATATTTTTTATTTATTTGTACAGTTTAGAAACAATTTATCACTTGTTTACCTGTTATGATCTATACTACTTACATGTACATAAAATTGTGTACAAGTTTGTATTTTTTGCTTTTTTAGTAATACAGTAATAGAGTAATACCTCAGTTCAAGAATATTTCTGTTTGCAAGTAATTCAGTTCTCAAACAAAAGTGTTTTTGAAAAATTTTTATTTCCGTATAACAAATGAGCTCAGGTTTCTTGTCCACACAAAAACAAAGAGAGCTGTTTTTTCCATAATGGTAAAAGACTTTTGGTACCCCAAGGTACTATTTTAGATTGAACTTTTAAATTTTACGTTGGGAATTTTTCCTCAAATGTATAGGTGCATTGAGGGAATTTTATCTGTGATGTATTGTGTGAGAAGCAAAATATGGAGCATTTAAGCTTTTGAAATTCAAGAATGTGAAATTCAATTAAGGCATTGCTATTTCTCAAAAATATTTTATATTTTTGTATTTACATAAATCATATATTACACTGTTTATTTTAAAACAGATAATAATTTTATCACTGTTAATAGATTCATAGAGTGTCTTTTTCTAAATCTAGGTCAGATATGTAAAAATAAAATCAATTTATATTGTCTTTATTGAGAAAACCATTAAACTTACTTTTATTTCTAATAATTAATTGGTAGCTCTTTTCGGCCTATTTTTACATAATCATAGCACGACAGATAAAGTCAGATTCTTCCTGTCTTATTTCTAAACATATCTTTTAGTATTTCTTGGTCACAGTGGTTAAAGGCTGGAGAGGGAAGTGGACTGGAGAAGGTGGAAACTCCAGTCCTTTTTCTGCATGTTTCAGAGCACATTTCTCAACACTTCACCCCTGGGTATATTTGCTAGAATTCCTAGTAACTGTCTGTATCACAACTCATGATGAGGTTTTCTATCAGGAGCAGATGCCACATTCCACAAAAGTTTTATGTGTCCAATGATATTCGTGATTTAATGAATGTTAAAACATTATGATTCTATTAATATGATTAATTCTGCTCACTGATTTTCAGCTAACAACTGTATCTTTCTATAATAAACTCAGGTTAGTCCTTTTGCTTTAGGGCTCCTTGCTATTGCAAAATTTGTTTTGTTAATATTTTGGTTAAAATTTGTGTATCAATATTTTTAATGCATGTGGCATGAAATTGTTCTTATTTACCATATGGTTGATGTGTTTTGCTTTATAAGATAACATAAATTTTTCTATGCCTATCTCAAAAGATTTTGCATATATTTTATATGATTTCTGTTAAATAATAACCAAAGGACAGTTTTTTTTTGAAAAGTTAATCACTATGTGTAACTCAGTTTTTATCTAGTTTGCCAGCTTTCAAATCATTTGTAGAAGTTAAAAGTTATATTTCATAAATATCTACATAATTGTATGTATTTTCTATTTAGTATCTTATTTACCACATTTATTTAAATATGTAGGTTGGATATATACTTTTATATGTCTTGGTTTCAAGTTGTTCACTAGGTACCTTTGTTTAGCCATGTCCATGTTTCTTCTTTCTCCATTACTCATCTCAGTTTTATCTGAATTCTTTTTATATGGAAGTCCCCTAGTAGATGAATAGTTCTGATAGTCTGTCAGATAATCAACTTCCAGAAGTTGTGTCCTCCTATGTCAGGTAATGAGGAAGAGTTTAATATGTAGTAGGTTTATTAAGATTCAAATTTTGAAGGAAAGGGAGCAGAAGCAGTTTGGACGAAGGGAAAAGATGAACTACCCCTCAAGGCCCACAGTTTGTGCAATGAGCTGGGGTGGTTTGGTGTGCCCTGAGCACTGATGGCCCTGCTTCACTCTTTCATCTAATGAGGGAGCCCTGGAAGAGCATGATCTCAGGAATATGTTTCTGTCAGGTTTAGGGAACACTGGAGAAGTAAGCAATATAACCCTACAAGCCCTCTGACTAAATGGGTTTTCACCTAGTTTACTAGCTTCTCTCTCAGTAGTTATCTGCACTCATCTCTGCTGTATTTACTCTTGGAAACTCAACATTATGATTTCCTGCAGGAAGATCTAAAGCTTTTCAGAAGTCGTTTTTCAGCTACTACTCCAAATGGTCCAAAATCTCACTCAGCCTCATGAGCTAACATTCAACACTTTCCCCCCGAGTTTCTATAACATCAAACTTTACACCATTTTGCTAGCTTCACTGATCAGATCACTCTGGGCATACACTTAGCTCCATCTAGGTTTGTCAATACATACAGGAGAGCTTGTTCCTGTCTCTCAGTTTCAGGTTTACTTAACACACTATGTATCACATGGCAAATTTAGGCAGGTTCTGCACCTGCATGAATGAGGTGGCATCTCTGGTTGAAGAACTAAGTAGTGAACATCTGCTCTAGGACTGCATTCATGTGGTTCTGATTGCCAAGGAGACATCACAGGCTGCCTTCTCCTTTGTATCCTGCCAGATTTCACCAGTCTCTGTGCTCTCTATAAGGAAATTTTCCTCTAAGATCCAAGTTCCATCATGTGGTACAAGCATTTTGTTCTACAGAAAGATAAAGTAGACACTGAATCACTCTTTCCCACCAGAATTGTGTGTCAAGTCAAAGGCACTAAATTTCCAGATCTGTTAACTTCTTCATCTCAAAATCTCCCTTCTCCCGTCTCAGTCACAGTACGGGCCAGACCAGGCCTCCCCTTCAGAGCTGAGTTTTCTTCTGCTGCCAAGACAACCCATCTAGTAGTTGATAAAAATGCAGGCTTTTCTGGGTGAGGTCTGAGTCAGAAACTGAATTTTCTAGTCAAGAACATCAAAAACTATTATTCTGATAAAAAGGGCAATAGCACATCCTTAGAGCTGACTGTGGTAGGAAGAGAGATAATCATCTCAGCACTTTGGTTTTTAAAATAAAGTGTGATTTCCATTGCCATGATTTGCTAGTTAAATCCGCAGTTCCCCAAATATCTCCATGCTCCATTTGGTTAACTTATAAGGACTCAAAGAGAATACGATGCTTAGATCAGCAGCAGTGGCTCCACACAGGAGTCTGTGAGAAAATCAGAATATTAAGCCTTACTGAGTCAGAAGATGTATTTTAATCAATATTTTAGTGGGCTGCTGTATGTACTACACATTGAGAAGTATTACATAGTTTCTACTCAGCCACTT